GACCCTTGTCCTACTTACTCCCTCTACTGGCAGATAAGAGCATAGGCTCAATAGAGCTTCACAGAAAAAAGTATAACCGACTAGAGTGCTATATATATATATATATATATATATATATATATGCATATTTATATATATATAAATAAATATATATATACAAGTATAACCCGCCTCAGTTTACACATCTGTAAAATAAAGGTATTGGACTTGATGATTTTTTAAGTTCTCTTGCAGTTCTAAATCATCTTTAGGCCTCCTCCAGCCTCCTTCAGGGCCTCCACAGTCTGGTTCCAAATTATCTCCAATTCTTCCCTGTTCCAACCAGTCCATCCTGTCAGTGCCTTGCTTCTTTGTGCTTTCACCTTTGCTCAAACCACTTTCCACTATCTAGAATGCCCCTTCCCCTCTACTCTCCTCTCCCTAACTTAATGTGCCCCATTCTTCAATACTCAGCAAGTTTCCTGAGCAGTCTCAACATAGCCCTTGGTGATGGAGCCCTTAGAGATGCAGCTGAGCTTCTGTGATGATTACTCTCTATTCCCTGAATCTGCATCTAAGGTTACGTTGCCTGCCATTGTTATTTAGAATCTTGTCTCTTCACCTCATTGTAAGCTCCATGAAGGCAGGACTAGACCATCTTAAGGTTTTTGTGTTTACTCCATTCTCTAGTCTAAAGTTCTTCATAAAATGGGTACTCAGTAAGTACGATCATAGGAATGCAGGATCTAGAGCTGGCAGGGCCTATGATTCAATTATTCTCTGATTCTCTAGTGGGTCCCAACTGATAGATCATGAACCCTTGGTGGCTGAAGAGTTGCTGCAAGGGGTCTTTGAATCTATATGCAGATCCAAGAATAAGCAAATACTATACTAATTCTATATTAATAATACAAATATACAAATTCTATACTAATAATATCTATTTCCAAATGTAGGTAGACAATTTTGTGACTCATATGCATTCATTTAGAAAGTTGCTGAATTCCTACTTTTATCATCATTATGTATTTTCTCAGTCAAAAGGTGCTAAAAATCCAACTCCTATCAGATGTAAACTCATGAATTTTTTATGCTTGTAAAGGGAGTTCTCATATTTGAAAAAGTTGGAAATCACTGATCTAGTCTAAGTCCCTCATTTTATTTTAGTTTTGATATACTTTTTTTAAGCACCAGAATCATTTTCCAATACTGTTTCCTCTTCCCCTAACCCCATCCCATCTTCCTTTATTAACAAAACAATTAAGCAAAATGAACTGATATTTGAGTCTGATATTCTTAGTCAAAGTTTCCCTCCCCACCCATTTTACAATTCCCACCATCCCCATTTTACAGAGCAAGAAACAAATCCAGAGAAGGGAAGGGGCCCAAGATGGCGAAGTTGCTAAGTGAAAGAGCTGGGATTCAGACGCAGGGCTTTTGGCTCTAGCGTTCTTTCCCTCTACCATATTGCCTCATTCTATTGGTTAATTATCTTTACCTTTTACACTGGGGGCTCCCTGAGAGAAGGTCTAGTTTCTTTCTCATCCTGTCACTTGTCTCTGTCAGGTAGATGGAAATCTCCCTACATATATGCCCCTTGATCTTTGAACCAGGCTTCTATCAGGTCAATATTTCCCTTCTTTTCTTCTTCTTCCTTTTCTTTTCTTTTCTTTTTTTTAGGCAATTGGGGTTAAGTGACTTGCTCAGGGTCACACAGCTGGTAAGTGTCAAGTGTTTGGTCTGAGGCTGGATTTGAACCCAGGTCCTCCTGACTTCAGGGCCGGTGCTCTATGCACTGCACCACCTAGCTGCCCCTATATTTCCCTTCTTGGTGCCTTCTACCTCCTCTCTCCATATTCTGAGTTTCCTCACCAAGGTTCAACAACTTCCAGATAAGTTGTAGATTCAGTTAATCCTCTCAAGCTTCTCATCTTATAGTTCATGCATGACCTCTCTTCCCTCAGGGATAGAGCAAAAGGGAATGAGTGGGAATGAGGCTAAATATTGGAAAGAGTTTAATAACAGGGAATAAAGAATTGCAGGAATGGGTCCTGGAGGATAGCAAAAGGACAGAGGGGGAAAAAAAGAGGAGAGGAGCTTGACCTGCTTTATTTGGGTGATGGGTAGTCCTGACCCACTAGTATCAGGGGCATTGACAAATTGACCTCTAAGAGACCAATAGGAAAGAAGTATTTAACTTGTTTACAAGCTACTTGTTTGCCTATAATATGGGCCTTATGGATGGACTGTCAGACAGATGACCAGAACTATGTAATTCTACTGTAGCATTATCATTCAACTCTTGATAATCCACTTTGTGGATTATCGATGACCAGGGTTGAATCCCAGGCTAGTATTCCTATGTTCCTATACTCAGAATGAATAGCCACCTCAGCCAGGTAGAGTGAGGAGGGCAATTCTGTTGTAGAACAAAGACAGACAAAAATGGGTCTCTGATCCAAGTTTCATTTCCCCTTCATCGATATGGATAACAGAGATAATAACTCTCAGAAATCATGGGGGTGGTTTGATGGTGACTGAATTTTTGGAGTGCCCCCCATGTGATGAGAGAAATCTGCTTCTCTGATCTCAGAGAATCCAGATTGCAGTTTCCCAGCCTGAATGCATTACCCAGAAGCAATGTGTGGGAGAAGTAGAGATGAGAAGATACCTAGCTTCTAATCTTAGCTATTTCCCACTATTCTATGTAACCTTGGAAAAGTCATTTTTCTTCTCAGTCTCATTCTCCCAAACTATCAAGTAAGGATAATTCCTGCCCAGATTAACCTACAGGGTCAAATTGAATCAAGGATGTTAAGTCATTTGAAACTATGATAATTAAAGAGAGAGAAGGGAAGGGAGCAGTTCTAAGGGTTAGGCAATCTCTCCTCTTGGATCTAATTCCTTATTTGAGAGACACAGTCTAATCCCTATGGGTCAATGATGGACAAATCAAAACCTCATAGGTGCCTTGTGCTATCTCAGTGGGTTGCTTTGAATGACCTCCACTCCACCCCTAGCCACCCTGATGAAGCCAGGAGATTCCAGCTCTTCCATTTCTCTTAAACATGAGTGGGTGATTGGTTTCACATACACAAAGGCCTTCACAAATATGCACACACACACACACACACACACACACACACACACATACACACACACATACACCACACATAATAGAACCATAGAATCTTGTAGTTGGAAGAGAGCTCAGAGAATATTGAGTCTAACCTTCCAGTCCCAGAGACATACACAATGTTACACAAGTGGCAAATAGTTCATCTCATGCATAGTCTGACACTCTCACACACACACACACACACATATACATATACAGAGGCATATGTGTTGTCACAAATACACTCATCTACCATCACACTCTTTCACAAATGGCTCTCATGAGATCTCATCACCTCTTTTTCCCATCCCCCTCCCTGTTTCTCTCCTTCACTCCCTCCCTCCTTTTACTCCTCTACTCACCCGGCTTACAAACTTGTTCTCTTCCCACGCCCATAGCGGTGGGTCCTTATAGTCTTGCTTGATGGACGCTGGGGGTCTGTAGGAGTCAGTGTAGGTACTTATAGGAGTCTTGGTCTTATGAGCAAAGAGGAACATGGTGGAATCCAGGCACCACCTTTGTGGGTAGTGCCTTCCAGAGTCTCTGGCTGAGCATCTGGAAGCACCCTGTTCCTGAGGATCCTGCACCACTTGTCTATAGGTGTTGCTGGGTTGCTGTGATCCATCTCCCCTCTTGGCCCCCCCCACAGACACCCTCCCATCCCCACCCCCCACCCTGCACCCCACTGATCCTAGAGCTGCCTATTGTGACATCATTGCAGACCACCTCCCTCCCTCACCATTAGGGTTAACAGATAGGTCCCAGGAGGTCATAGGTTAGAGTGCAAGGGACCTTAGGGACCATGGAGTCCAATCACTTCATTTTTTAGATGGGGAAACTGAGGCTGGGAGGATAAGTAATTTGCCCAGGGTCACAGAGCTAGTAAGTATCTGAAGATTTGAACTAAGGTGTTCTTGTCTCTAAGGTCCAGAGTCCTATCAACCATGCCATGCTGTCTCTAGTTTAACACCCCCCACCCCAGTCCCCAACCCAACCAATCATTCTCTCTCCCCTCTTCTCCTTCATTAAGATTCCTCTTAGGATCACAGTCTCAAAGGTCAAAAGACCTGGTATATCATCTTATAAAATTGCTTGCTTTTCCCCCTCTCCATTTTCTGGATGAGAAAATTGAGAGATGAGAAATGACTTGCCCAAAGAACATAGACAATTAATGATAGAGATGGGACGAGGAGCCAACCCTAAGTGTATTTACAAGAGGCAAAGAGGGCTTAGATGAGTACATTTGTTATTCAGTCTCTGAAAGATAAAGCCTGAACCCAGACCCTTAGGAATCCCAGAAAAGTAGTGAGCTTCCTGAGCTTAAGGAAGTTTCCCCCTTGTAGGGGTCTTTGGGATTATAGATGGTAGATCCTTGGTGAATTTTCTTGCCTGCTGAATGGGCAGTTTTCTACATATACATCAACTCTCCCTCACTGAGACCAGGAGGGAAAGGGAAGGGTAGGAGGAACAAGGGGGCTGTGCAGACTTCTTACAGCCCAAGTAGAAGGGAACAAGAGAGCTGAGAGCAGAGCATCCCCCTCAGACAGTCTCTCTCCAGTTTCTCCATCTGTAAAATGGGGATAATAATAGCACCTACCTCCCAGAGTTGTTGTGAGAGTGAGACCTTAGCGTAGTGAGACCTTAGCCTGACACACTATATAAGTGGTTGTTTCTTTATGTCCTTTCCTCTACCTACCTCAATGTGGGGCTAGGTTAAGGTTACGGATGTTGCTGGCTAGCCAAGGAGATTCAAGGTTCCCTGCAAGACCAGGTCTTGCCCTGAGTCACAGTCTGAGGGAGAAGAATCTAGAACCCAGGTATCTTGCCTCCCAACCACACTTCCCCAGGTCCTCCTCACCCCCTCCAGTCAACCAGAGAGCCATGGGGCAGGTTTGTTCATATTATGCTTTTTAATATTATTAATTGTGTTACACGACACATAACCAGGAACAATGATAAATACTGCGATGGAAATGTTAAAAAAATATTATACATGTCTCATGTCTCCAAAAAACACACCTTTTAAATAAATTAATGCAGAGTAACTGACACTTCAAAGGAAGAGAACCCACAGTCATGAGGACTGGGTTGAGGGCCAGGGGCAGGGCTGGGGACCAGCGAGGTTAAGGCAAGTACCTACATGGATAGGGTCAGAGGGATGAAGGGGAGGAAGTCAGGAGGTGAGCTGGGAGGAAGGGGTTATGATTGCAGGAAGGGGTCATATCATGGGAGAGGGGGAGTTCCACAGAAAGCTTGATTCTTCCAAACCCCATGAAGTGGTCTGGACGGCTTTTGCCTCCCTCCCTCCTCCCTTTCTCTCCCAGCCTGGGGGCCAGACAACAGAGGGGAGAATACCTTGGCTCCCAGCAGCGAGATGAGGTACCACCACCACCTCCACAAAGAATTTTCTCTCATTTCCTTGATTCCTTATCCTTATCCTTAACCTACAGGGACCCAGGGAGAGCAAGCACAAAGCTAATCAGTCAAACCCACATCAGAACACAGGTATCCCATTTCCATTCTAAGGGACTAAGCCATCCTGATTTTGGTGATGGTCCAGTCTCTAGTTAAAAGTGAAGTTATAGAGTCCACCTGAGATGGAAGATGCAAGAAGACAGGTAGGCTCAGGGGGGCTGACCATATAGAATGGGTCTAGGGGAAGAGGGGAGGTCTTGGTACTTGAAATAGGGCAGAATAGGACTTAAGAAAGGGAAGAACACTATTTCTGGGGGTCAGAAGGCTTCTTGCACATGAATGGGGGACAGGAATAAACCAGTGGAGCCCTCATGGTCAGTCTATTTCTGCCCCAATGATTTGCAGGCCTGCTTGTGGTTGGGTCTCTCACTTCCCATGAGCACCACTCTACCCTCAGGAATGCCGCCATTACCTTACACTAGGTGGGAGTGGTCACTGGAGGGGGATGGGAGCTACAACTTATACATGGCTGCCCACTTATCCCCATCCCCCTAAGGGTCAGGTGGGTGTTTCTGAGGAGCCTGCAAACCGTAGTGGGTAGGGTAATAACCTCTTCACCCTCTCAGAGTCAAAACTGGCCTCTACATTTAACAGTGTTTGGACACTGAGTGTGGTTGTATATATACATATACACGCACACACATATATATATATTATTTTTGTACACACACACATATATATATGTATATACATATACATATGTATGTATGTAACTGTGTAAGGGGGAGTGATGGTTCAACAAATGAGTGACTATACCTGTATGTGGTACCATATGAAGGACTGAGGGGGAGGGCACTCCTTTCCCCTCTACCCATCAAGACAGGGAGATCTTTTTCCCTTAGGTTAACTAGGCTTGAGAAATCTTGGGCTAGTCTATAATCTGTACCCCAATCCCAAATCCCACTTAAGAGGTGGGGAGGCTGAGGCTGGGCACAAAAAGATAGGTGAGAGGATAGACAGGGAGGGAACAGCCTTGCTGGGCTTATGTTTGGGGAGGGTCCTGAAGACCTTGACTGTTTCACAAATCAACTTTTCCAGGGCTGGCCCAACCCAGATTGGGATAAAGGAGACCAAAGCCTGGCTTGGTCTGGTCCACTTTGATCCTGCTCCTTCCACCTCCCAGCCCTAAAGGCAGGGACCCTCTGGACTTCCCTCCTTCCCCAAATGATTTTTTGTTTTTACCAAACACACAGCTCCAGAGAGCTAGGCAAGTCCCGGTAAGCAAGAAGTTTTCCCTTGTACTTCCATCAGCCTTTGAGGTCACTGCCCATCCTGAAACTAGGAGCATCCCTTGGCACATGGGATCGTGTTCTCTCCTTCCCTACTAAGGGGAGGCAAACTCAGGATCCAGGACCCTCAGGAAGAGGGAAGAAGGGCCCAGGATTTTTTGACCCTTCTAACCCAAACAGAAATACCAGCAGTAGCACAGATGTGCATGTACATACCCTACACACACTTATACAGACATATCTCACACACACACACAGGCAGAAACAGATACACACAGAGACATACTACCCAAAGACATATACTGACAGACACACACACACATATATGTGTACACACATAATCATACACACACATACACACACACACTTCCCTGAAAATGCCTATTCTATACAGCCTCCTCTGAGTCTCATGAAGGGGAGGATGTAGACAAAGGTGGTGACTTCCCAAGCAGCAAGTTCAGCTCACTCATGAGTAACAGTGGGAAGGAAGCTAGTTGTGTGGGTAAGGGAGAGCAGGTTCAGAGGCAGTAACTGGACTACAAATCCAAAGGACATCTTGGCCTGCTGGGAAAGGCAGAACCTTAGGGCAAGGGAGGCAGGAAGGCCTGGTGAGGCTTGCCTCTAGCTGACTACAAAGTAGGGGAGGGGGACTGACATTAGTAACTCCCTCTCCTTTCCTGCTTCCAGCTCCCCACAAAGGCAGGGAGATGGGGGGGAGTGGGGTGAGGCTGGGCCAGAGGTAGTTCCCTCTATTCACCACCACCCCTAAAAACCTAGTGGGGCATCAACAGAACTAGGCAGATGGGAATTCATCCTCATTCCCACCTTGGTCCTGATTCCATGTACACTGCTACTCCATTTTCCTTACTACACAGAGAGAGGGAGAGGAAAAAAACACAGACAGTAGGTAACAGAGAGAGGAAGAGGAAGACAGACAGAGGACGACAGCAAGAGAAGAAGTTGCTCCCCTGGTGGTAGAGATGGGAGGGCTCCCCTTTACCCTTATATCCCCTGGAAAAAGGATGGGAAATGAAGCCAAGAAGCTGTGCTCGAGTTGGACGGAACAGGAGGGGAGGGGAGATGGAGACTAAACATTAAAAAAACTCTAAAAATCAGCGTATAGGTCAGAAGGCAGGAGGAGGACAAGCCAGGGCCAGGAAAGATAACGAGTTTCCACGGTTCACATCACGAGGCTGAGCCAGGGCAAGGCAGGCCAGGCTAGGCTGAGTGGCCCTGGAGCTGGCCTTCTTGAGCCATTCCAGGAGGGATCTTTGGGGTGTCCTTCAGCTGCCAGGTGTCCTATGTCTGCAGCAGATCATCATGGGGCCATCTCCAAGGACCTCTGGGGGAAGACCTTGAGTCTCAGCATCCTGGGAAATCAGACTGGGTCATGGCTTGGCCTGAGGACAATCTGGCAGAGCTCTCTTCTGAATGAAGCACAGACTGACTTAGCTTAGGCCTGTGGAGGCCAGAGCTCCAGGCTGCTTCCCTTGTCAGTCCCCTTTCAGCCCTCACTAACCCCTGGTATCTCTCCTTCTCCCATCTTCCCCTCCTGCTCTCCCCCAGATTTTTGGCCAGTCTGTCTGCTGGAGACAGTCATGGCTGGGAAGCCAATGGAGGTGGTGGTGGTTTTAGGGAGAAAGGGAAGCTGGCTGAGTCCCCTTTAAACAAATCAATGAACAAAGAGCTCCTACCACCCTCCCCCCACCCCCACTCCCCAGTGAAATCTCATTTTGGTTTCTCCCGGCTTCATGAACACAGAGGTACACGTCCTACCATAGGAGGAAGAAATGGCTGTTAAGAAGTTGGCCAGTAGCTAAGGCCAGGACCAGGGCCCAGAAAGGGAACCAGGGAGGGAATGGGCGCCAGATGTGCCTCCTCCCCCCTCTGCCCCTGTCCTGGCCCATGCTGGCCGTTACTGGATGTGGCAGGCAGTAGAGGAAGTGGCCTGGCAGCACATGCACGTGGGGTTCACAGATTTAGGGGGGATGAGGTCGAGGTCCTCGTCATCGGGGATCTCATCTAACCGGTAACCATCTTTCAGCAGCTGGATGTTCAAGTCTTGGTTGATCTGCTGTAGACAAAGGGGAGGGCGGTCAAACCTGGGGTAAAGGTGGGGGCAAGCAGGCCTTGTAGTCCTAGCGAGCCCGGGGAAATTAACTTGTAGGCTCCATCTTCCACCATGCAAAACCCATCTCTTACTTCCTAGGTCCCACCACTACCTCTGAAATCTCACCCCCCTACTTTCCAGGTTCCCAAATACCCCCTTTATCTTTTATCCACCCCATCCCCATCCCTATCTCCAAAGTCCTATCCTTTAAGATTCCACTCCTATTTCTCATCTTCTGTTCCTAAATCTTGGTCCCATTCCTATGTCTCTGACACTCCACCACATACCCCCTAGGTTGTAACCCTATGTCTCACTCTCTAATCCACTATCTTTAGCACCAAGGAGAAGCTGTAGTCCTTGGTCCTAACCCTTTTCCCTGATGGACAATCCTTCCTTCTGGTTTCTTAGCCTATTGAAGGGCTGACAGCCAGGGAAAGGTACAAGTCTCTCTTCATAGTAAAAACCTCCAGACGTTCTCATGACTCACCTCTGCTGAGGAGTAGCCCGAGGAGGAATATCTGGACATGTCAAAGTCATCATCACTGTCAGTAAGACAAGAAAGAGAAGATCATTGGTGATTTTAGAGTCTCACTTCTTGGGGGGAGGGTGTGAGGATTAAACATTGTCCCTGAACTGGGACAACAGATGGATTTCCACTAGTTAATGGACTACTCCTGCAATTAATTCGGATTCTCAGTGTCAAGGCCTAACTCCCCTTCAACAGGAATAGTTTTATAGAGGCTGGATTATTTAATGGGAAGAACACTGGTTTTGAAGCCAGAAACTACCAAATCTCAGTTCAGATTCAGAGATAACCTTATTTTACACATGAGGAAACTGAGGCCTAGAGAGGTGAAGTGAGGTGGTAAGTAGCAAAGCCAGAATCTGAACCCAGGTCATCTCTCTCCAAATCTAGTGCTCTTTCAACTACAACATGCTGACCTCTGTAACTTTCCTTTTACCTATCTGGGCCTCAGTTTCCTCATCTGTAAGAGAAGGAGTTTGAAAAATCTCTAAGGTCCCTTCCAAATTGAAATCCTTAAATCCTATCTACAATCTGTCTATCCTGTCTACAATCCTATGAAGAATCCTTTTCCTTGGGGCCCAGATTCCTTGGGGAGTCTGGGGAAAGGATGGGAGGTGAGAAGAACCAAACATCTGGCCTTCCCTTTTCCTTACACACTCATTGAGCCAATGCCTCAGTACCATCTTAAATAAACTCTAATCTCATTTTGTTAGTCCATTCAATCATACTCCCCAAAGGACTCACTAAGTATATCTCTTCTTACCCCCATTCCCAATCTTCTTCCCTTTATTGGCATTAATCTAAGTCCCCCTTTTTTCCTTTTTGTTTGTTTGTTTTGTTTGTTTTGCTAGGCAATGGGGTTAAGTGACTTGCCCAGGGTCACACAGCTAGTAAGTGTTATGTGTCTGAGGCCGGACTTGAACTCAGGTCCTCCTGAATCCAGGGCCGGTGCTCTATCCACTACGCCACCTAGTTGCCCCCTTGTTTGTTTTTTTTTTAATTAAAAAATTTTGAACTTAATGAACATCAACAAAACACAGACACTTCAACATACAAAGAACAGAGAGGACTGCACATGAGATTGTGAGTATTAGATACAGTCTGTTTTTAAAGATGTTTCTATTAAATTTAACATGACAGTACCACTACCCTGGTTGTCTGTGCCTCCTTCTTAATTTCCTTTGTGCCCCTTACTCCTCTTTTATTTTCTAGGCAAGCCCTCCCTTTCCACTGTTCTCTGACATGCAAACTGGGAACTCCCCTCAAGTGGCCCAGAGGTTCCAGTGGTGGAAACTTCCAAGTCAACCCACCTGTCTTATTCTAAGAATGCTTGGGGTTCATTTGCCCTACATTTACTGTTTCCTTTTACAGAAGGGGAAGGTAAGGTCCCAAGAGAGGTGATGACATGCCCAAGGGTACACAAAGATCAGAGGCACAGGGAGGAAAAGGGAGTGAAAAGACCTGGTAGCCAGCCCTCCTTCAACACCATCCCTTGTTGTCCAGATGAATGAAAGCATTTATGAAGAGTGAATGCTTGTAGTGCTGCTTCTCAAAGGACAGAATATGACAGAAAAGGAAAATGATGGACGTTGGAAGGGATGTGGGAAAATTGAGACATTAATGCACTGTTGGTGGACTTGTGAACTGATCCAACCATTCTGAAGAATACTTCCGGAACTATGCCCAAAGGACTATAAAACTGTGTATACCCTTTGACCCAGCAATACCACTTCTAGGTCTGTATCCCAAAGAGATTTTTTTTTGGGGGGCAAGGCAATTGGGGTTAAGTAACTTGTCCTGGGTCACACAGCTAGTAAGTGTCAAGTGTCTGGTCTGAGACTGGATTTGAACTTAGGTCCTCCTTACTCCAGGGCCGGTGCTCTATCTACTGCACCACCTAGCTGCCCCCAAAGAGATTTTTAAAAAATGAAATAGACCTATATGTATGTACAAAAATATTTATACCAGCTCGTTTTGTGGTAGCCAAGAATTGCACAGTGAGGGGATGCCAATCAGTTGGGGAATGACTGAACAAGTTGTGGTACATGATTGTGATGGAATACTATTGTGTTAAAAGAAATGATGAATAGGATGGTTTCAGAAAAACCTGGAAAGTCTTACATGGACTGATACAAAATTAAGTGAGCAGAACCAGGAGAACATTGTACACAGTAATAGCAAAACTGTATGATGATCAACTGTGAATGACTTAGCTCTCTCAGCAATAAAAAGATTCAAGACAATTCCGAGGGACTTATGATGAAAAATGCTATCTACCTCCAGAGAAAGAACTGATGGAATCTGAATGCAAACTCCATATATAATAGCATACTATTTTAAACGGTTTTTTTGTGGGTGTTTTTGTCTGTTTTCTTTTACAACATGACTAATATGGAAATATGTTTTATATAATTAAACATGTATATCCTATATAAAATTGTCTGCCTTCTCAATGAAGGGGTAGGAGAAGAAGGGAGGGAATTTGGAACTCAAAATTTTAAAAAATGAATGTTAAAACTGTAATTGGGAAAAAATTAAAATATTTAATTTTTTTAAAAAAGGACAGTGTGGCTCATGAGCAGGCTCTCTTACCACTGGCTGAAATCATCTACTCTTATTAATGTTGGTGTAAAATATTTTGCTATTGCAAAACTGTACTAGTAGGATTCTAAGGAAAAATCATGAAATAAGGTGATTGGACTACATGATCTCTAAGTAGGGCACTCAGACAAATAGGGCAGTGTTGGTACTATTGTGTCAAATTCAATACAAACTTTTAGAACATCAGGCTTTAGGCAATAGAGTGCTCAGCTTTAACACTGTATGACAAGAAGGACATTGCTTTTCCTTGGGGGTGAGGCTGTCCCTGAGGGACGTGTCAGGGAGAGCATGGAAAAGTGAGGAAGGAGAAAATTGTTAGCACAAAGTCTTGGAACTTAGGATCTGTCAATCATTTCTGCTGTCCAATAAAAACAGTTGTCATTCGTACAGTGCTTTATATACATGGTCTCATTTGATTCTTGTAGCTATACTGTGAGATGAGAGCTACATGTATTGTTCCCACTGAAGATTTGAGAAACTGAGGCTCAGAGAATTTAAGTTAACCTGCTCATAATTACACAGGCAGTAACTATTAAAAGCTGGATTCTAAGGTAGATCTCGCTGACCCCAGGCTCAGTGCTCTATTGTCTCTCCCATGGGGCTTCTCCAAATGAAAGGAGAGCTAGGGGACAGGAAACAGAAACTTAGCAAGGAAACCAAAGTCTGAGAAGGGTGAGGCTGTGAAATGGAAAGATGTTTATTTCTGGTCCTAGGATGGTAGAAGGGGGAAGGAGGGAAGGGAACTATGCCAGGCAAACAGGACAAGGAAAAGCTGCCATCTGCTACTGAAATATAGAATCAGAGGACTTGGGTTCAAATCCTGATCCCACTGCTTACTAGCTTTGTGACCTTGGGCAGATCACACAATCTCTATGGGCCTCAGTTTCCTTTTCTGCAAAATGAGGGGGTTGGACCCTTTCTGTTCTAACTCAATAATCCTACAATCCTATGAAAGCACACAGCTGCTAGTAAGAGTAGGCCCCAAAGTGAGCTTGGAGCAGCAGATAAACAACTTCGATTCAGAGACAAGCAGAAACGGACTGAATAACCAGTCGGGGACAGGCTTCAGATGAAGTGAACAGAACAGGGAAGAACCTGGCTGTTCCTCCCCCCAGGATTTTTACAGACTTTGGTCTTACATTTTCCCTGAGTGACAGGAGGTCCGGGTCCCTTCTTCTGTGACTGTAACCATCCCTCCTCCCACAGGGCTGACAGCCATGGGCAGATGGCTTTCTCTCTTCATGGTGAGGTGAGGGTAATACTTCCAGGCCCTAGATCCTATCCTCGGAGAGTGAAGGGAGGTGACTGTAAAATTAGTACATGGTGGCCTGAAGCCCAGGAGAAAAATCCTGGGACCAGAGAGTACTTTCCTTATGCAGGAGATTATGAGTAATGGTAGGATTTCCAGGGCCTGCAGCCAGGAATCTCCAGAAGGAGCAGAGGTGAGCAAGGTCAACAGCAAATGGCTTAAAACCCAAGAAGATATTTTTGGAAGCTAGGTAAGGAAGCCAGGCTCCAAGGGAAGCTTTTGGGACCAAGGTGATTGCAGAGTGGAGGTATAACAGCGGCTAGGGTACATGTCAATTCCCCAGTACCTAACATGGTGCTTTGCACAGAATAGGCACCTAACAAATATTTGTTGAATTAAATCCCAGGACCAAGGTGGTCCACACCCAGGGAAGACTAGAAAGTCAGTTCTGGATAGCTGAAAGAACTGATCTCTTCCCATCTAGAGCTTCTTTTCTCTCTTTCTCTCTCTCTCTGTCTCTCTCTCTCTCTCTCTCTCACACACACACACACACACACACACACCCTTCATTTATTTATTTTGGGTGCAGGCCTATCCTCTGTCCCAGGCCTCCATACCTGTCCGTGTCAAGGGCCACCAATGGCTTCTCGTCTGGACTCTGATCAAGTGAAGAGTATCCTTTGTTGGGGACAACCAGCCTGGATAGAGCAGAACAGAAGGGCCATGGTTAGCTGGCCATGGCAGGCCCTTTCCCTTTTTTGCCTGTTTGTTCTGGGCATTATGCTAGGGAGGTGTAAGCTTTCCTTTCCATCCCAAAGGGAACAACTGGAATGCTGAACTTGGGACAGAGTGGTCCATGCCAGGTACTCTTGAATACAACAGAGGCCCAGGTACCAAGGGCAGGCCTAGTGTGAGGTTTACAAGGATGATGGGGCACTGGTCAAGGACAGAAACCTTTGTTTATCAATCAAGTCAAGACCTGAATGCCTAAGCCTGAACCCAGAAAGGCTCAATGCCCCCAAATCCCTACCAATTGTGGGGCCATTGTCTGCTTGCTCTCCCACTCATCATATCCCAGGCCCCTATTCTAGAAGAATAAAGATGCAAAGGAAGCTCTGTCAATTAGGGTGATCTGAGTGACAGAGGTGGGGACAGAGAAGAAAACCTTTACCTTGTTCGAGCCATCACGTTATTCTTCTTGGGCTGCTGGTTGACTGGACTGCCCATGTTGCCATTTTTCAAGGAACCCTTTCGAGCGAGCTCTCGCTGTTTCTCTGCAGAGGGAACATCGTTATTTTAAGGATGAGGCTGATAGCTTCATGGCACCCTGGCTCCTGACAACAGATAGACAATGGCAGCCTGGACTGATGAGGGAAGGAAGCTGCCTTTCTTGTCCTTCTCTCCCACTCTGGGGGCCTTTAGTACCAAGCCATCCACTGAAAAGGAAGCCCAAACCATGTACTTTCCTAAAGCAGTTGAGTTCTAGTGTCTGATTTAAACCCTCTGAATCTCCCCCAAGCCCCTCCCTCCAACCAGCCTTGCTGATTCCTATAAAAAAGACATCACCATCCTCCTCCTGCAATATAACTCCAGGCTCATCCCACCCTGCAGAAAGTGGGGGTCCTCAGTATTCCTGGGAATATGTCTCTTCACCATGCCCTACTCCCAAGTCTCCATGATCTCTCTGGAGTTCAGGGTCTCTGCTTTTGTCTGCCAACTGGTTAGCAATTCTGTCTTCATGTTAATGCTAGTGACAGCCTGGATCACTCTGAGCACAGAAGCATTTTCCTCACCTGATCTTGCAAGAATCAATTCATCCTATTTGATAGCTTCTGATATACTCATAAATAGAACAGAAGAGCTAGGAGGGACCTTAGGGACCATCTAGTTCAAGCTTGTCATTTCACACATGAGAAAACTGGGGCCTGGAAAGGGGAAATAACTTGGCTCCAGCTAAGCTGCACCCAGCTCAGCACTGCCACCTCTCTTAAAATCTACTGAGGCTTGGAGGACTCTGTCCAGCTGCTGAAGACAGCTCTCCACTCTATGCCTTTTCTCCTACTCCTAATTCCAATCTGTTCAACCTCAGTCATTGACTTAGTTTCTGCTAGTTTTGTTCTTCTGCTTTTCCTACCAAAAACCTTTTCTCTTATTTGCTCTGTTTCCTGGCTTTAAAAAAAGACTGATTTTTTTTTTTATGTCTTGTTTATGGAACCTAGAGCCAGACAGGACTCCTTTATTTACAAATAAACTAGTCATCTAACAGATTTAGACATAGACATTGGCCTGTGAGCTACCCTGGACCCTGGGGCCTATGCTGTGGGAGATGACCCACCATCAACTACCCTATCCCCAAAGGGAAAGCCTGTGTAGCTTGGGGTCTCTCTGCCTCTGGGTGTGGGTGGGTATGTGGGGTATACCCACAGGCCAGGATCTGAGGAGATGGCCTAGTTGGAGTGAAGTGAGAGAGAGAGGTGGGAAGGAAGATGGAATGGTGCCTCTGGAGGCAGATCAAATTACTGGATTCTCCTGCAGGATGTTTTTTGCCCATTCAACTGGCACTGCCCAAGCTCTTTCTACATTTTGTGAGCTTCACAAGGACAGTTCTTGGGATGTGGGGGAGTGTACTTAGGTTATCTCCTCTTCCTTCTCACCTGATCCCTACTGGGACAAGAAAACAAGCAAACAATAATGAAGAGGGTGGGAGGGCCCTCTAGAGGTCAAGTACATGGTGGCCATAAGATCAGATGGTCACAGATTCAGAGCTGGAGGAACCTTCTCCATGAGGTCATATCCAACTCCCTTATTTCACAGATGAGGAAACTGAGGCCCTAAGAGGTTAAGTGATTTACCCAGGGACTCTTCAGGAAAAGAGGTTTCACCTCTTTCTCCCTTCCTTTTATCTATTTATAATCCTCTCTACTGAAAAGCAAACCTACTAACTCTGTGGAATTGCTTTACAGGGTATTGGGGCTCTATGTATAGAAGAAGGAAGCAGCTGTCTGTAGAGTAAGATGAAAGGACTTGGAGGTCTCCCTAATCCTAAGTATCTATCCCACTAAGTGCCATGGGGTTGGAAATATCACCATTTGAAATGAGTCATTCTTGATCTTGATGTATTCTAGGCTTTCTGAGCTCCCTATTACAGCTATACCAGAAAGGGGCCAAACTTTAAGTCATTATCAGTCATCAGTGCTTTAGTAAGGATTAACTAATCAGTCAACTGAGAGTAAGGTATTGGGGAAAGGAATGGAGGAATAATGCCTTGGTTGGAGGAGGTTTCCTGAAGGAAGGAAACCCAACCTTTGTAGACATCGCTGTTTTGCGATGATCTCACCCTATCAGGTAAGCAGCATGATGAGTGGCAGAATGAATGGGAGAGTGGCCAACCTTAGTGTTGGGGGAAGCAGCTGACTGCCCCTCTGCCATGTCTTGCCCTCCTGGTCTTGCTATGCCTTTTTCTGTGCTGCAGCCCCTCTCCTCTTCTACCCCCCAAATAAACTTGCATTTCCACATTCAGAAAATTGGCTGGGTTATGCTGAGAAAGAGACAGAAAAGAATCAAGTATAATCTTTGTCCTTTGGGGGTTTTTTATAGTCAGATTGAGGACATAAAACTCATGCATATGGAACAATATAGGGGACATTGATAAGACTAGCCTGGAGGATGAATGAGTGGTAGGAAATAAGATTAAAGAGGTGGAATGGGGTTAGATTGTGATGGGCCTTGAATTAGCTTAGACTTGATGCAGTAGGCAACGGGGAGCCATTCAAAGTTCTTCAGTAGAGAAGTAATGTAATGAAAGCTAGGCTGTCAGAAACTTAATCTGGTGATGGTGTGTGTCTTAGAGTGGAGAAGAAGGAAACCAGTAATCCCTTAGTTGATTTGTGTTGATAGCTCAAATAGATGATCTTAGGCCTCACCCATGCCTGTAAAAATACTTCAGGGATGCTCCTGACATCCTAGCAGTGGTGGTGGTGAGGATGTGGGGTGGGGAATACGGTCAGTCAGTTCCCAATGGCCTGGAGGAGCTGTCACCAGCCCAGCAGGTGCTAGCAATGGGGTGGGGGAAAGACTGCATTCCCTTTTCTCTCATCTTATTTCCTACCCACCTCTACCAGGTGTTGACTACCTATTTTTCCTTTCTAATAAACAGCTCCCAAATAAAAAAAGGTTTTCTTGCCAACTGAATTTGTAGACAGTCTCCTGGGAAGGAAGCCTGAGCTGCTGCAGAAACAAATCATTGCTCTTGGGGGAGAGCTTTTCGGGAAGCTGATGGAAATGAAATTGAACCTTCTTATTCATGGCTGGAGTGAGACCAGCTCTGATCCAGGAAGGTAATGGCTGTCCCTGAAGGCCTCCTTCTCTTCCTAACTCCTAGAAGTGCTCTGAACAGCAGCTGCTGGGGCTGGAGGGGGAGACGGATTTGCATCCTAAGTCTGTCATGGGCAGCAGAGCTACTCTAGACACACTCCAAGGTCCCCCTAAATCCTATGATCTCATGAACAAAGTCTGAGTCACACACATGTGGTCTTCTTTGGCAGAAAGCGGAAACTTGAGGAATTTGAAATTCAATTTAATTAAACAGATTAAAGATATGATATTTGGAATTTTAAGTATCCTTTACAGAACTAAAAATTTAAAAACAAACAGATACATATATATAGTTTGGTTTATTTAAAAAATCTTTTTTTGGTATAATTGTTGGCAGTTAGATGGCACAGCTCAAACTTTCTGTCTCCAAGTCCAGCACTCCATCCACTTTGTTATTTAACCTCTCTCAGCCTCACTTTCCTCACCTGTAAAATGGAAATAACAATAGTATCTTTATGTAAAGTGCTTTGCAAATCTTAGAGTGCTATAAAAATGCTTCCTATTATTATTGTTAATAATTAGTCACCATCATCATAATTATTATTACCATCAAACTTAGAGATATAGGAAGACCCAGAGAAAATGTTTTTTCTTTAGTAAGGAATGGACTAAATTCAATCTCGTGGATCCAAAAAATACCTGTTCCATTCCTGCTAGGCCCCAATTTGTTCTTCTCTCCGCCAGCTCAACACACCACAGCCCAGATATGTTTTCTGCTCTTTCACATCTGAGGTCACTATCAATTGTAATTTCTGAGGCCAAGGGAAGACCCTCCCTTCTTCCCCAAAACAAAACTGGGGCCTGAAATCCTTATGGTGGGAGGCAAAAGGCTTGCATGATTAGGGATAAGAGTTAAAGTGCCAAATCTCATAGGAGGAGGAAAACAGGGATTAGCATTTGTTCTAAGGAATAGAAGCCCGATATTAAGTCAAGTCCTTCTATGATAATGGTGTTTATAGGAGCATAGTTTTAGAACTGGAAGGAACCTCAGAGGACACTTCAGTTCAATTACTTCATTTTACAGATGAGGAGAATGAGAGAGGTTAAATGATTTTCCCAGGGTCACACAGCTAGTGTCTCATGCAGGATTTGAATTCAATTCTTCCTAACTCCAAGCTCAGTGTTCTATCCAATGTGCCTGGGGCGGGGCAGGGAGGATGAGGGGGAGAGGGAGAGAGGAAGAGTGAGAGAGGTAGAAAGGGAGAGAAGAGGAGAAAAGGGGGGGGGGGGGGGGGGGATGGAGAGAAAGAGGGGAGGAGAGGAGAGAAAAGCCACTGGGTCTGGTAAGTTGCCAGAGGGGGGAAAAATCATAGAAAGGGAAAACTAAGGCAAAGGCAAACTTCTATTCCTCTAAGATTTTGTGAAGGTCATTCAGCCTCAGGCAACTGTGGGGAATGCTGGGGAGGAGTCCTTGCCAGGGTTGGCTGTTATGCTGTAGTCTCCAACAAGAACACTAGGTGGCGATCACAGACAGGGGAGTTCTAAGGTAGTGACCCCAGCAAGAGGCTCAATCACTCTTGCCTGAGACAATGCCATAGTGTGGCATAGACTCACAGGGCTATACATTAGAGTGTGAGCTCCTTGAGATCTGGGGCTGTTTTTGCATTTCCTTTGTACCCCTGACACACAGTAAGCATTTAATAAGTGCCTGCTGATTGACTAATTGATAGTTGTCACACAGATGATCTCTGGTTCATGTCTGAGGGTTGTGTCCCCCCACCACCTCACTGTGGGCAGGGCCTATAGTAGGGAGAGCCCATTAAACTCTCACCACCCTGCCCCCAGAGACAGGCTACCTCTGCCAGTCACCAGGGTACCACTCCACCTAGGCCTTCTTTGAGGCCAGAGTGAGGAAGGGCGCTCGCCCCAGGTGGGGAGCCAGGCTTGGCTCAGGGAATCTCCTACCCTGATGGCAGCCTTTGGGGGCTCCTGTCTCCTTCCCTCTATGCCTCAACTCCAAGCATCTATTTCTATCTGCCAACAGACTCCTCTGTCCTCACCAGTTTTCTGCACTCTTTCCTATGCCAATCTCTTAAGTTCCCCACACCAATTTCTACCTTATATCTTCCTTTCTCACACCCCACCCCTCAAGGACCTGCAGATACTGATGAAGGAGGCCCAAGGCTGAGGGTTGGATCTTCTATGGGGTCAAATGCTCTGGACAGAAAAGAGAATGTGAGAGGAGACGATCGGGGTGGGGAGGGTGTATGTGTGTGTCTCTGTGTGTGTGTGTGTGTGTGTATGTGTGTATGTGTGTGTGTGTGTGTGTGTGTGTGTGTGTGGTTCTTGCAGGGGACAAGCACTCACAGAATGGGCACTTGAGAACAGGATTCATACACGATACATCCCTTACTAAGTTGATCAGGTGCTCTGGTCACACACCCTTCTGTTCAGGGCAGCACAGCTGTGTGAGGGGCTCCTCAGACACCATGAGGTCATAGATTTGGAGGTGAAGTACAGCTCTCTCATTTTACAAATGAGGAAACTGAGACCCAGAGATGTGAAGTGACTTGCCAAGACATCTAGTAAGCTACCTTGTACTTAGAGCTCCTAAGTGTTTGACAAAGTCAGGATGTGAATACAGGTCTCAGACTCTAAATATCATGTGTTTTCCAGTGTACCATGCTGTTTCCTCCCAGACAGGGTGGGGAGGCCTTCCCAGAGCAAGGAATTCTGTGAGCCGGGGCAATGCTTCTAATCCTTCATTGACCAGAGCTTGAGTGACCATGGGCAGGAAACACCATGCTCAGTATCCACCCCAGTGATCCTAGCTCATGCTCTCTAGGCGCCTTTCTCACACAGAAAGGCCGGGGACCTGCTAGGTAAGAGAATGAGGCTAGGCCCCAGGGGCTACCGTGTATAGCTACTCTCTGACCAATTGCCTTGCCCACCCCCCACCCCCCTGCCAATTTCAGCACAGAAACAACAGCTGCTTCACCTAATTAGCATGAATCCCAGCTGGAGGAGCCAGGTCGAAGAGCAGCAGGATAGAAGGAGGGGCTGGGGGAGACAGACGGTAGAGGAATAAGCCACTGCAGGAAGCTGAGTAGAGAAAAAGATGCTAATGGTATTGATTGAGGGGCTCGGAGAGGTAGAGAGGAAGGGCTACATGGGATGAGGGAGGGTCCTGAGGAGTTAGGGAGAATGGGGCGGGGAAGCTAAGGGTGCACATGGGAAGGGGATGGGGCCTAATATTCCAGACTGGGAAAGGACAAGGCCTGACGGGTTGGCCCATGAGGGGCTTGAGGGGTCATAATGAGAAGATTTGGCCTGAGGGGTTAGGCAGAGAGAGAATAGGGATCTTTGAAAAAAAAAAAGACATAAAAAAAATGTGTATGTTCAATAGGAATGTCTATGTAAAGCCTATATCAGATTGAGTGCCATCTTGGGAAGGAAGGGGAAGACAGAAGGGGAGAAAAATTTTAAACTCAAAAGCTTATGGAAGTGATTGTTGATAAATCAAAATAAATTAATAAAAAATTTTTAAAAAGACATGAGAATAGGGATCTTTGGTCCATAGTATTTTAGAGCTAGAAGGGACCTTAGAGATGATTTAATCCAATGCCCTCATTTTACAGATGAGGGAATTGAGCCCTAGAGAGAAACAGGGCCAGAGAATGGGAAAGGAGAGAGGAAGGGATGAAGACAGACACATATGACATATATGTGGCTTAGGGCTGCTAACAGGCGCAGCATGGACTGTATGTGCTCTGTTGATACTCAAGTGAGAACAGTCATCTCTGCTGCTGGGCAGGCTATGGGGATGAGAGTGGGCAGCTCAGTTCTCAGCTCTGAAGCACTTTGTGCCTTGGATGATGTCAAGCAGCCCCTCCTGCCAGAGACAGTGGAATCTCACAGACCCTCCTCTCCCTATCACCCCTATCTCTCCACTCCCAGTTGCCGTGGCCACCATGATGCCTGGAAAACCCTGAGATGCAAATGCCCAAAGGGAAAATGTATCTTTCATAATTTCTCTTCCATACATCACCTTCCTTCAATTTTTATTGCATGGATCCTAGCCCAGGCCCTTAATACCTCATTCTTAGGCTATGGTGACAGCTTTGTAACTAACTGTTTTTTTCCAATTCAAACATTTTTTGTTGTTTGGTCATTTTCAGCTGTGTCCGACTCCTTGTGACCCCATTTGAGGTTTTCTTGGCAAAGATATTGGAGTGGTTTGCCATTTCCTTCTCCAGCTTATTTTATAGATGAGGAAACTGAAGCAAACAGGGTTAAGTGACTTGCCCAGGGTCATACAGCTAGTAAATGTCTGAGCATAAACATTCATCAAGTGTCGAACACGGGCAAGCCATTATGCTAGGCACTGGGGCTATAAAGACAAAACAGTCCTTGCTCTCAAGGGGCTTATATTCCACCGTACATAAATAAGTAAATATCAAATAATTTGAGGACAAGAGAACACTGGAAAAGCCAGAGAGGCTTCCTGTACAAGGTGGTGTTTGAGATAGGCTTTCAAGATCATCTTGTGAACATCTCTGTACTCCAATCAACCTATCCTACACAGGTCTATCTTCTTAAAAATTCCATCATGTTGTAATTTTGCTCAGAAAACTTCCGTGGCTCTCCATTAACTAGAGAATCAAGGTTATCCTCCTTTACTGGTGTCCGAGGCTTTTTATGATCTGACTCTTCATCTGACCCAGACCTGGCTTTCCTAGAGTGTGACCACAGATGAGTCATTTATGTTCTCTGAACTTTGGTTCCCTCAAATGTAAAATTAGGGAGCTCTAGGAGATAATTCCAAGGTACCTTCTGTCTTTAAATTCTGTTATTCTAGCCTTCCAGCCTTCAAACTCCCATGATTTCCTCTCACGTTGCTATATTGTAGTCATAACGATATTCTCTAACTTAGAGGACCCTGCAGTTTCTTTTCTCCCTTTGTTTCTGTTTCCTCTTAACCAGAATGACTTTTCACTTCTTCTGCGTGCCTAAATACTATTTATCTTTTAAGGCCTTCATTTTGGAGGCAGAGTGACTATCACAACATTTCCTGCCCAAACACTTGCCATTGTCTCCAAAGACAGTAGAGTTCCCAAATCCTTCCTTAACCACTTTTTGCTCCTGGGAGGTTGACCCTCCCCAGGAGGGTACAAGGAGAGACCCTATAATAACAGGGAACAAGGATGATCAAGCCTGTGGATACTAGGACTCTGATGCTGAGCTGCCCACCTTTCCCTGGTGAGAAGAATCGTTGGCAATGATACCTATGGGGGCATAGGTCAGGGTCCTCACGAGAACACTTACCCAATTTCACTTGGAGTGGGGATGGTTTGTAATTCATGGCTACAGTCTCTCCTTCTCGGGCATCACAGTCTCCATCTGAGATGGATGCAGCTGCTGGATCCTGGGGAGAGAAAACAATTGGGAAGAGGTCGCTAAGAGCCAAATGAAAGGACTTCAATACACTGATTTCCCTTTCTGACTCAGGATTTCTTGAGGGAGAGGTTGATGTGGACTGTGACCTGTTTCCCCTCACCTTTTTCCAGTGGGAGGAGATAGTCTGGGCCCCATTAATCACCCTGCTATGTTCTATAAATCCTTCAAGGCCCAACTCAGTTCCCACCTTTTTTATGAAACCTTCCTTGGTTACTCCAGCCCACCCAAATATCTCCCTCCTCTGGTCACAATCCGTATCAACATATTAATATTTTATGCTTAATACAGTCCTGGATTTTTCTCTTACTGTGAATGTAGGGTATGAGAGAAGGGGTGGGATAGAAAGGAGAAAATGGAGGAGAGAGATAGAGTGGTTAGTCCTCTTGGGCATTCATACACACCCAGACTAGCAGGGTGGAAGGGAGCCCCTCAAGACCTGTCCAGCCCCAGAACATTTTCGGACATCCACTTCTTTCATGTGCTTACTCAGTACCAAACCTTACTATGGACCTTATTCATTTCCTGGTCCCACAAGGATAGTTACACAGGTGGCAGTTTCAAGGTCTCCTGCCTCTGGCTGGGGCCCCAGGCTACTTGGAACCTGACCTCCAGAAACTGCCTTCTTAGCCCAGACTGGATTTTGGCCAGCGGCACAGCCCAGGATTTGATTCTCCCAATTAATTTCTTCTTAGTGCTAGAGGGATGTTGACAGGTGCAATAGGATGGAAGCAAACATTTTGTTGTCTGGCCTGGCTGGTGCGTTAACTGTGAGCACTTCAAACTGCTGCTGGGGAACCAAGGCTTTGCTCCAGTTCACAGGGAAAGGTGGGGCCTGAGGGCAAGACCCAAGGAATTGGCTTCTCATCATACTCTATCTCTAGCTCTTTAGTTTTCCTACTGCTGAAAGCAGATACACATCCAGCAAGGTGCCAGGCTGCCGCTACAAGCACACCAAAATACAACTGTTTTCTGAACTCTGAGATGAAGGTGTTAAACCAAAGTCCCAAACACAGCATGGCCCATCCCAATGGGCCCTATGGTCAAATCATGAATCTCTTCCTCCTAAATTCTTAAACATTTAATTTATCACAATTACTCTCCAACTTCTCCTCCTTGAAGTTTATATCATCCCAATTATACCACTCTCTCTCTCCATCTTTTTCCATGTCACAAAACAATCTCCAGGAAATTTTCCCTTGTGAAATTTTATTTTTATTGATACTTTTTGTTTCTAAATCACATTCATTTCCAAATATGTTCCCCCTCCAATGCCTTATGTGACAAGCCATCATTTGTGTTGCTGTTGTTCAGTTGTTTTCAGGGTTGTCCCACTCACCATGATCCCATTTGGGGTTTTCTTGGCAGAGATACTGGGGTGATTTGCCATTTCCTTTTCCAGCTCATCTTGCAGATGAGGAAAAACTGAGGCAAACGAAATTAAGTGACTTGTCTAGAGTCACACACCTAATAAGTGTCTGAGGCCAGATTTGAACTCACAAAGATGAGACTTCCTGACATCCTATCCCCTGCGCCACCTAGCTGCCTTTGTAGGATGATTAAAAAAAAAAAAAAAAAAGAAAAAAGAAGAAAGGGCAGTTCAGTAAGACCAAGATATTTATTATATGACAGCATTTCAAACTCATAGTCCCCTTCCTCTGCAAAGAGGAGGTTCATTTTCTCAACCTTTCCTAGGTTTTCAGTTGCAACGTGTTGGCTGTTCTTCGCCTTGATGTTGCTGTAGTCACTGTTTTCTCGGTCCTGCTGACTTCACTTTACATTAGTTCATGTCTTTCCATGCTTCTCTGAATTCTTCATCTTCATCATTTTTTATAGCTTAGTGATATTCCAATAAATTCATGTACATTTTGTTTAGCCATTCCTCAGCTGATGGGCTTTTCTTTTCTTCACAGTTCTTTGTTACCACAGAAAGTGATTCTGGGGATAGTTTAGAATATAAGGGACTCTTCTTTAACCTTGATGGTGTAAATACCTAGAAGTTCTTCCACATTTTTCAATGGCAGTGGCACCTGGCTTACAGTCTTCCTCTCTACCTCTTGTTTTTATTCTTGGAGTAATAGAAAAAAAATGCTGGATTTGGAGGCAGAGGCCTTAGGTTCAAATCCTATCTCTGGCATCTGGGTGGTTTTGGACAGGCATTTCCCCTCTCTGAGCCTCAGTTTCCTCATCTTTTTTTTAATTTAATTTTTATTTTCAGTTCCAAATTCTCTCCCTCTCTCCACCCTTTTCCAACTCACTAAGAAGGCAAAAATACAACATCCATTCAGTTTCATCATCTGTGGAATGAAGAGGTTGGGTTGGATTAGCTAACTTCTACATTTCCCTGCCACTCCCCATCTATGATGCCATGCCCCTATCACCTACAAATAGAAGCATCTAGAGGACCTTTATGTCTACAGAGAAATACACAGGAAATCTTCCATGAAAAAACCTCCGTTGAGGTTTTTATGCCCCATTTTATGCCTTAGCTGAAATTGATAGTTATTGCTAAACTTTGTAGTTGCATATATTAAGGATTTTTCTATGTTCTTAATACATACAAGAGATACCTGGTAGGAGGAAAACCTTAAAGAGTACTCTAAAGCAACAGTATGAGAATGTATAAAATGTTAAGATCATGTATTCTCTATTTTTGTTGCTGTTTACTTGTTTCAGTCGTGTCTGACAATTTGTGACCCCTTGTGGGGTTTTTTTGGCAAAGATACTGGAGTGGTTTGCCATTTCCTTCTATAGTTCATTTTATGGATGAGGAACTGAGGCAAACAGGTTAAGTGACTTGCCCAAGGCCACACAGCTAGTAAGTGTCTGCGGCCAGATTTGAACTCAGAAAGAAGAGTCTTCCTGACTCCAGGCCTGGCACTCTGGGCACTATAGCGCCACCTAGGTGCCCATTCTCTATTTACCTCTCAGTTAATTATGACTATAAAGGTGTGATCTGTTGTAAACAAGTCATCAGTGAAGCCTGACTTAATACTTTAATCAAGGATACATCCAATGTATATATAGATCATTTTCATAAAGATTTTGTAGAAGTCTTTATACTTCACAGGTATGTTTTTCAAGAGGCACAAGAACAAACACAAGCCTGTCAGAGCTCCTTCTCCTATACCTAAGCCTAACTCTATGAGAGGTAGCATGGACTGGGTTTGGAGTCAGACCTATGTTTAAGTGCTGGCTTTGCTACATTACCCCAGCCATGTCACAGTAAACAAATCACTTATTCTCTCTGAGCCTCAGCATCTTCATTTGTAAAATGAGAATAATAATACTTGTATTACATACCTCATAATGTCATAGACCACAGAACTTAGAGAAAGAAGGGAACTTAGAAGATTCTTTGAGGAGAATGCTTTGTAAATTGTAAAATAACATACAAAAATAAATTATTACTGTTATCATAGCCAACTTCCCCTGTGATCTACTACCAGTAGAGAAAATGGGGTGGGCAAAGTATTTCAGTGGCAGGGATGGGGGGGATTGGAAGTGAGGGAACAGTCACACAAACTCTAGTCATATGGACATTGACATTTGTTTCCTTTCTGTTGGACCAGGTTCAAAGAAGGGTGGGTGCCTAGGATAGAAACAATGGCTTGAGGATGAACCTTTGGGGGTCATAAATAACTGCTATGGCACTCTTTGAAACCCAAAGGCATTTCTATCACAAAGCAAGGAAACCTGGCCTCTGACTATAGTGTTTTTTATACCTATGGAGAAAACTCTTGCTAAAGCTAGAAAGTTGGCAATGCTTGTCTTAGTATCTCTTCTCCCAGTATCATTCCCAGTTCCTCTTCACCTTCTGGCAAATAATGCCCTAACCTCTGCTCCATTAACCAGCCCCACATCCCCCTATCCACCCTATCCAGTGGTCCCTACTGCAGTTATTGCAAAGGCTCTTCAAATCCATATGTGAATACATAAAAAGCAGGCATACCTCCTAAACACTAAATAAAAATTAGATCTCAAACATGTCTTCCTATTTTTAAAAACTTAACTAGATGCTGCTGTGATGCATAAAATTCAAGTTAATTTAAAAGCATTACTGAATTCAAAGGTTTTTTTTTAAAAAAATCTTTATGTATTTTCCCCAATCATGTGGAAGTCTATGAAATTTATTTATGTTAAAAATGGGTCCCTATACTCAAAAAGCTTGGGTACCATTGCTCTAAACCATCTCTCTCCCCTATTAAACCCTACTCTCGTCTATTTATCAGAAGGGCTTTATATGAAAAGCTAATTCACTCAGAAGTAAATGACAGGTCAGGCCACAATGTGACATCCATCTATCTCAGGGAAATAAGCATTTGACGTTCTAAAGGGAAATTTCAGGCAATCTGGTAGGCCAGTGAGGAGCCCTTAGTGCCTTTCACATTCAACTACTCAGGCTGCTCCCTTCTCTGCCCACACTACACAGAACTGGTCAGAGAGCAGGCTGGGTTGGCCTAAATTGCAAGGGACAGTCCCCCTGAAGGTCTAAGCTCCATAATGACCTCAGCACTGGGCCCACTGTATGTGATGACTCAATAAAGTAGGAAAATGTAACTGTCCCACTGGCTTCTGTTCCTTTTGAAATAAGGAGGTGGGAAATCAGTGTGTTTGCTAAAGGAGAAAAAAAGAAACTGACCCAAATGTTGAGGAAGTAAGCCTTTTTCACCCTCAGCACACACCGATCTGGCCCTTCTCTACCTTCCTCTGGCTCTTCAGGGGCCGAGCACACGCTCTTGCCCTTGATGCTATGCTGTCCTGGGTTGTTCTCAGGCTGTTTTCTCTCACAGTGCCTGAGAAGCCCCTAGGCGCAGGGTCCCAGTCTACTTCTTTGTCTTCTTTTCAGCAGAGTTGGCTCAGGGTGGTGAATGGTGGGCTGGGTCAGTTAATTTGGCCTTGATTAATTCTCAAGCACTAGGGAAGAGATGGACCTGAAGTAAATGAGAGAAATCCTACAGCTAAAAGACATCACTTGCCAACCTTCCCTTTTCCCTTCCTGCAGTGTTCTAGTGCCAAAGCAGTTCTTTAGCTTGGCAAGGCTGAGGAGCAAGAGGGGGACCAGGGGTTCAAGTGGCAAGTATCAGAACCATTTTGTCTGCCCCCTAAGAGCAGAGGATGGGAGGAGGGATGGTGGCTTAGTACGGAGGCAGTAGGCTAGAACAGGCACAGCTGCCAGGTGGGGCTGGGCTGGCATTTCTAAAACGTAGACAAGGAGGCATTTTGAGGTGGTGTGGGGGAGAGCTAATACATGTTCAAACTGTTGGCAGTGGCCACAGAACCTAGAAAACACACTGCTGGGCAATTAGAGAGTAGAACGTGAAGGAAGAACAAGGAGGAGATACAAAAGGGCAGAAGAAAGAGGCCTTTTGAATTTGAAGAGATGTAGCTGCTGTGCAAACACACAGGGCAAGCAGGACATAGGTAGGGGAGGGTTAGCTTGAGATGTTTTGAGCTGCCCTTTGGAGTGAGGTAGAAAGCTTGGGCCCAGCAGGCATGGGTGTCCATAAGTTGGGGCTGTTGGTTGGGGGAGAGCTCTTGGCTAATGACTGATCCCAGGAAGGCCTTGAGGCAGAGGGCTGGCTAAAGGTGGCCAGGCTTGGACCAAGCCAGGTGCTTGCCCCTTCCTACATGCGGGACTTAGAGCCCCCAGTGGCCTGACACAGCTATGGTTTTGCCAGGCTGAGGAACTGCCGAATTCAGCCTCAATTCCTTCCCGAAAGTGTACTGAGAACCCCTACAGGCCCAGGGAATTTAATTCTTCCTCCTTCTTATCGCCCTTACTCTGTTGTGGTCCACTTAGGTAATCCTGGTCACCATCCCCACTGCAGTAAAGGAACAGGATGTGAGTAGCTCTTCTGTCCTCCTTATGGTTCTGCAGTCAGAAGGCATAGGAGAGACCAGAGCTTGCTGCAGACTGGGCATGGCCAGCACCTCTGGGGAGAACCTTGTGTCTCTCAGTTCTTCTGGGAGGGGGCTCCAATTGGCCATCCAGGGTCCCAATTTCCATATGTCCGATTTTAATGTGCATTAGGTGTTTGATCTACTTTGTCTAAAAGCAACACACCAATCCTTCTTCCTTCCTCTGCTTCCAAGGGAGCCAGGGGAAGTGTCTACTCTGAAGCAGGTGCCATGCCCTGCAGCTCCACCTCAGCATAGCTGGTTTATAATCTCAGCACATGCTGAGATTATACAACCTTCTTGACATTTGAAGCCCTTCAGAATTTGGCTCTTGTTTACCTTTCTAGGCTTATTACAATTACCACTTAGAATCTATATTTCATATGTTTAGTATGACTGTACATGTATAGACTATATCAGATTGCGTGCCACCTTGGTTAGGCCAGGGAGATTTTAGCTCCTGGTGGGACCCGATTTAGGTTGCATGTCTTTCAATGAGTAGCAAGGGCACTTCTCGGACCAAGTCTCCTGACAGTTGTACCCCACTTCTTTCCCCTTCTTCCCCCATCCTCAAACTCTTCCTGGAATATGCATGGAGATTATACTACACTAAGACAGTGGAGGAAGAAGGTTAAAAAGGAGGAAGAGGAGGAAGAAAACATGGATCCTGACTCCAGGTGAGCTTAGCAAGATGTGTCTGTTCCCAGCATTATGCAGATTGTTCTAGGACTGGCACTTGTAGCCTCTAGCCAGGCCCTCCACCAAGCTATGTACACTAGGAGCCAGAAAGGTCTCTCAGGCCCTTGCCTCAACCTCTGAAGCTTGAGGCCGGAATAGAAATACACCCCCTCTTTTCAGTGGTTCCATAGAGACCACTACATATTATATACCTGGGGCCTCAAATGATTGAGTGCCAAATGATTGGCACTGCCCATCAGAGAGGTGAAGCTGCTTGAAGCAGGAAATGGCCTGACCTTCCGGCCGGGGGGCAAGAGGGTGGCCCTAGTTCTGATTTTCAGCAAGCAAAGGGCTAGTGGACTAAATAGCAGGAGCAGCCCATGTTTCCAACCTTGAGAGAGGACTAGTCCAGTATATGTTAATCCTTGATCTCTTCAGCATCTGAAACTGCTGACTACATACTCCTCCTACATAGACTCTTCTCCCTGGGTTTTCCTGACACTGTTCTCTCCCTAGTTTTCCTACCTGTTTGACACTGCCCTCCCTCCCCCCAATTCTCCTTTGCTAGATCACAGTCCATGTCTTATATTCTAAAGGCCAGGGTCCAAGGTTTGGACCCTCTATACTCCCCCTCATAGTGATTCCCTCAGCTCCCAGGGGCTGTGCTCAGCTCCCAGCTTTCAGTTACCATCTCTATACAGATAACCCCCAAATCTATCTGTCCAGTCCTAGTCTCTCTCCCAAGATCCAGCCCCCCATTAACACTTATTGGACACCTCCAACTGAACATCCCATTATCATCTAACACTCAGCATGTGTAAAACAGAACTCATTGTCTTATCCCCTAAACCTACTTCTCCACCAAATTTAACTCATTTCTGTGGAGGGACCTACCATTCTTCCAAGTCTTACAGGTTCATTCTATTATAGTCAACCCTTCCCTCTTCTTTACTCTCCTCCGACTCCCATCCAATCAGCTGATTCCACTTTCAAAAGACTTCTCACAACCATCTTCTTTTCACATGGCCACCTCCCTATTTCAGGCCCTGGACTGCAAATTCTAATTTGACTCCCCACTTCTAGTCTCTCCCCTTTTACCAACCTATTCTCCACAAAGCTGCCAAAAGAATCTTCCACTACTCCTCAACTGAAGAACTTTAGCAGCCCCCTGTTGTCTCTAGGATAAAATACAACCTTCTTGACATTTGAAGCCCTTCAGAATTTGGTTCTTGTCTACCTTTCTAGGCTTATCACCATTACCACTTAGAATCTATATTTCATATGTTTAGTATGATTGTATATGTATAGACTATATCAGATTGCATGCCGCCTTGGGGAGGGGAGGGAGGGGGAAGATTTGGAACTCAAAAATCTTATAAAAGTGAATGTTGAAAACTAAAAATAAATTAAAAATTTAAAAATCTGTATTTCAACCAAAGTGATCAAATTGCTGTTCCCAGAATTTGGCATTTCATCTACCTTTCCTATGTACCCCACCTTACTTTTTTCTCTTAGAATCTCTATCTTCCTTCAGACTTTGGCTTATGTGCCTCCTCCTATGGGAAGCTTTTCCTGATTCTCCCTAGCTGTTGGTGTTCATTCTTCTCCAAATCACTGTATGTATACTCCTCTGTCTACATGATGTAAAATCCTCAATAGAAATGTATGCTCTTGGAGAGCAGGGACCTTTTATTTTCATTTTTTCAACTCCAGTCCCTAGGACAGTTCTTTGTACATGGTAGATACTTTGTAACGCTTGTTGCATTGGATTGCCACATAATAACAATGGCTAACATTTACGGCTTACAAAGGGCTTTACCTAAGTTATCTCATCAGATTCTTCAAAGTCCCTGTAGCATACTCCCATTTCACAGTAGAGGACAGTGTTATTTTCTGGTCCTGGCCAATCCTGGTGTGGTCCAATGTGCCATGCCACCAATAATCCTGGGTTATGGTGTCTGAACCTACTCCCTTTCCAATCCAAAGCAGCATGAGAGCTCATACTTCTTCCACCCCAGTCGTCTGATGGAAGATGGGAGAGAAAAGATTATTCTAAGAAAGCTGTGTCAAACTTGGATTTCCCAAAGAAAATAGCACTTAGTCATGTATGTCAAGCCTGGAAAATGCAATTGAAGTCTCCAAAAAGAAGCAAAAGACTCTAAGCGAAATTCTTTCCTCTCATGAACCTGCACTATATACTTCACAAATGACTTTTCCAAAGTTGGCTTAAGGTAAGACCACTGCAGGAATCCTAGGTGCAGATGCCCAAGGTGACAACCTACTCGTGACCAGTCTTTAGTGGTTGGTGAGCCCATCTAGAGACTCCAGGAGGGAGAGGTCTAGCCATCACCAACCCCATAACAAAGAGGGAGAAAACTGAGGCATAAAAATTCTGACAGTAGACTTTTTTTTATAATACTGTAATCTGAGGATGAGAATAATGTGCATGTTGTATCAAATGAATGGAATGATAAATGGCACTTTATCAGGGTTCTAGAGTCCTGAATTTGTCAAACACCACTCTTCTGAATGAAGGGCACTTTTAAATGTATTCTTAGAATCATGGAACTTCAGATCTGAAAAGGAACTGAGAATTTCCACCAGAAAATAGAGGATCAGAGAAATGAAGTAGCAGATTAAGACCAGAGGTGGGGTGAAAACACAGGTATCCTAACTAAGTGCTGGTTCAGTGTTTCCTCATTCCAACACACTGCTTCTTGTATTTATTCTTTTTTTTTTTTTTTTTTGCTTTTTGGTGAGGCAATCTGGGTTAAGTGACTTGCCCAGGGTCGCACAGCTAGTAAGTGTCAAGTGTCTGAGGCCAGATTTGAACTCAGGTCTTCCTGACTCCAAGGCTGGAGCTCTATCCACCGTGCCACCTAGCTGCCCCTGCTTCTTGTATTTATTCTGACAATGTATTTTGGAAGAGATACAACAGGAAACAAAGCACAAGGATAAAAAGGAACTTCTCTGGGTGGAAAGCATTCATTTCAGGGATGCCTAGAGACTGGTACTGAGACCAGTGTTATTTAAAATTTTCCTTAGTGATCTGGAAGAGTGATTGCAGAGTAAAATTGGCAGGTTTGTGGTTGACAAAACTTTTCTGAATAACAAGAAGCCAAGCTGAGAAGGGATGGACTTTTAGACCTGCAGGACATTTTTGTGTAGTAAAGTATAAAGTAATGGATTAAACAAAAGATAAACCAAATGATTATTGAAAGGTAATGGGTTCTGAGTTGTGAGTAATGACCCAGGAAAAGGATATATCTGCTCCTTGAATACACCGGCCCAGCGTCCCACTGCAGCCAAAGACCAAAAGTTGGCCATTGTCGGCAGTGGGACCAAAGACAGAATGAAAATTATTTTCTTTCCCTTGTGTAAATCAAGGAACAATGTGTGAACTGCTGCCTCTCCTCTCCTCATCCCCTGCTTCCAGGAATACCAATACATGTCTGATTGTTGTATTTCAGGGCTGATATAATAAAGTTGGAGAAGGTCCCAAGAAGGGCAATTACAATGATCAAGGAGATTGAAGGAATGAATGATGGAGAGGCTACAAAAGAAGGGCAGACTAATATAATTAGGACTCTTCAGTCTGCAAGATGAAGTTTGAGAGGTGACAGGATCAAAGTTTATAAAATCATGCAGGGCATGAATGAGATACATTTGGACTTCTTCCCGAATCCCAGAATACTCCAACAAGGAGGTCAGTAAGGTTAAACTCTGGGGTTGATCAGATCCAAATGGTGTGACTATAGGGGAAGGATGGGAATAAGAATTTCTACAGAGCCTGTCATTGTTGTTCAGTTGTTTCAGTTGTGTCTGACTCTTCGTGACCCCATTTGGGGTGTTCTTGGCAAAGATACTGGAGCGGTTTGCCATGTCCTTCTCCAGCTCATTTTACAGATGAAGAAACTGTATAAAGTATAAAGGGTTAAGCGACTCACCCAGGGTCACACAGCTAGTAAGTGTCTGAGGCCAGACTTGAACTCAGGAAGAAGGGCCTTCCTGACTCCAGGCCAGCACTCTTATTTACTGCACCACCTAACTGCAATTATGTAGAAAGCCTACTAAGTGCTTTACAAATAATATCTCATTTGATACTCACAACTCTTCGAGGTAGGTGTTAAAATCCTCATTTTATAGTTGAGAAAAATGAGGCAAATGGAGGTTAAGTGACTTGCCCAGGGTCACACAGAGCCACCGAGCTTCTCCTCTCCCCCCTCCGGGCCATTAAAGAACTATCTCAAGACAATGGGATGTATTGGGAGTGGATCCATTGAGCTTTGTCTCAAAGAAGTATAGATGCAAGTATTTGCTCTTGGTATAGTAGAGTGAACAGTTAGAAGGCTTGAATTTTAATCCTGACTGGCATTTACTGACTGAATGCCTCTGGGAGAGTCATGTAATTTCTCTGAGCCTTGGTTTCCCTATCTGTAAAACGTGGATGATAATATTTGCCCGTCATCGAGTTTTTTAAAAAGGGCTGTATAACTTTCAAAGTCCTATAAAAAATATGATCTATCACCCTGATTTTAAATATTCCAATGTCAGCAAGAGACCAAGGAAGAGAGGTTAATAATTAAAGGCATTGCCTCAGAAGCTTTTTCAACACAAGGGGTTCTCTGTCATCCCAGCTCCTGGGTCCTGGTTTGGCCCAGAATCAGGGTACACCTGTAAGCCTCTGAATTTCTCTCAGGTTGTAAATGCCTTCTGGAAAAGCCTGAACTTTGAGGGCACCTAGAAATAGAAGAAAGTATAAAGGAGGCCAGAAGGAAAATAATTCCTGCTCTAGAATCAGACTGACTCTGGTATTTTTGCTCCTTATTAATGTTGCTATGAAACCAACTTGACCTTTTGGACTCCAGATCCTAGTCTGCTCTTTGTTGTTATTATTGATGAGATGTTTCAGTTGTGCCTGACTCTCCACGACCCCATTTGGGGCTTGCTTGGCAAAGATAATGGAAGGGTTTGCCATTTCCTTCTCCAACTCATTTTCCAGATGAGTAACTGAGGCAAACAGGATTAAGTGACTTGCCCAGGGTCACACAGCTAATAAGTGTCTGAGGCTGCATTTGACCTCAGATCCTCCTGACTCTAGGGCCAGTGCTCTATCCACTGCTTCACCTAGCTGCCCCTAGACTGCTTTAACATCATACAATTCCCTGATTCCCTAAGTCTTGCCTGAGTAGCTGAACTGGTCCAGACGGCTGAGCAATCCCTGCCTTTTTGGTGCTTGAGATGTCACATGGCTGAGGCAGCTAATTAAGCTTGAAAATGGTAATTTCAGGACTGATGCAAAGCAGTCTTATTTTATGTTCCATGCAGGGTAGTGAGGTGAGGGATTTGCAGGAGGGACCAAAGTTTTATGGTGATCATGACCCTAAGGGTTAGTATAAGTTAAAAAAAACCAACAGGTTCAAAAAAGGGCTTAAATAAGTCCCTGGCAGATCCATAATTGATTTTAGGAGTCAGTCAACAAGTCTGTATGGAGCACTTGCTGTGTTCAGATGAAGACTAGGGGCTGTAGACAACAAAGAGATATATGACAAGATCCCCTCCCTTATGAGGATTTTAGTTCATTTAAGGAGCCAAAAGTCACACACGAAACAGCAACAAATGATAGGTCAGTACAGAAAACACTCCCGAGTGGTCTGAACATTGCAATGTGCCACACTTTCAGAGGGGCACTGACAAGATGATGCGTATCAGTCAGTTGACAAGCCTTTATTAAGCCCTTAGTACACACTAGTCACAGTGCTAAGTGCTGAGAATACAAACATGGTGAAGGAGCACCAATTAAATTAAATTAAGAAAATGCAAAAGTATCAGTTCTTTTTTTTAGTCAACAATTGTTTATTAAGTGCCTACCAAGTACTAAGCATTGTTATTCTTTCATGTTATTCTTGCAGAAAAGGTGGAGAGGTGTGTATCTGATAAAAACAAAAAAGATGAGTTTCAATCCCTAGTTGAAAGGCTCAGTTTCAACATGGCAGGGGATCTCTAGAGGAAGGTACCAGGGACTTCTGCTTGGCCCCTAAAGTATCGATTCTAATGCAGCAGGAAGTAAGGTCAGCCTTAAGATAGCCATGTTCTTCAGTCCAGTGGAAAAGGAACAGGCTGATAAGAATTGTCTGTGTAGGCTGGGCAGGATGTGAACAGTGAGAAATGGGTCTTTTCTTCTGCATGGTGAGTGAATGGTACTCTGAATCTATAAGAAGCTCCATGTTGCCCCTTCTAAGGGGGGCTCTCTCTGTATGGTGGGGACAAAGAGAAAGAAGCTTACCATGGAGGACCAACCTGGCTGGCAGGGCCAGCTGGAAGTCCTGTAGGACTCAGGCTAAGAAGGATAAGAGCAGGGGTTAATCTGGTATAGGTAGACCTCTGAGGGGTCCAAGAATTCATTTAAGGGGTCTGTGAATGTGGATAGAAAAAATTACATCTTTCTTTTCACTAACCTTTAACTGAAATCTGCTATTTCCTTCAATTATTTAAAAGCAGTATTCTGAGAAGGGGTCCATAGGCTTCACAAGATTGCTAAAGGAGTCCATGACACAAAAAAAGGTTAAGAACTCCTTGATCAGATGCCAAAAGCTCAAACAGACCAGGGTGAAGCATTCCAGTCTCAGGTTTGAGAGACTGGCTTTCCTGGGTCCATAGCCAGGAGACAGAAATCAGCTCCTTTTGTTTGGGTACTATCATACTTGACTCAGTGACCTCTGAGCACCTTTTTGACCCTGGGATTCTTTTAGTCAGGGCTTCAGCAGCACAGGCTGCCCCAGCAACATCTCGTTTGTTCAGTTCCCTCTAGTTTGCTCCTCCAAACCTACCCTGCCTCTGTCCTCAGCCCCCGCACATCACCCTTTGCTAAAAATTATTCCAATTGTTCTTGCTCCTTCCGCCTCCTCACACAGTTACAGCCATTCCCTACTTAGCTCCCTTCCTCAAGAAGGCCCCTCTCCCTGAGCGTCTGCCCTTCCTCCCCTGATATTCCCAAAGGGC